GTACAAGCTCTTTCAACTTAGCTCTTTTCTGCACTAATTAGAATTTCAAGTGTCATAGTGCCTGGGGCATTCAAGATAGCACTAAACTAGGTTTAGTTAACTCGAAGACAGGAGGAAGCCATGGCCCCATCCGTCACTGCTGTGCACCTATTGCCAGGGACGGCTGGAGCATCAGATCACGTATGTCAGTCCAGAGTGGTTGGAACGGGCAAGTATAATTAACTAATTGATTAATTAGGATCATACCCATATTTTCTTGATGAAAGGGAAGCAATTGTTGACTTTCAGTAAAACCATCTGGCATTCATTAAACCTGTTTGGTGGTTGCTTTGGATTTTGCCTGTGTTTGTTATTATTTCTCCAGACCTGGGCTTAGTCAATACTTTCTTGACTTTGCACCATAATCCACATACAAGTTTTTCTTAGCAACAACTGCCTGCTCATCAGGAAAGAAGCAACAGAGAATCCTGCTTCATGCGTTGGCTAATCGTCCTTCCTTGCTACAGGAAGGACATTTCGTTCTAAGGAGTGATTCAGTGTCAGACCTACAGAGACTGTGAACACAACTGACAAGGGAGAGAAGACTCAGAAGGATCTAATCAATGACCATACATTCTTAATATCTCTGCTCATTTCTTCAAGGCTGGGGAACTACTTACCAGGATTCTCCTAGAGGACAGCAAAGCAAGTTGGTTTGGGGCACGGAGGGTAAACAGTACCCTTTATAAGTTGAAAATTTTATTGAGATAGTAAACCCATATGCACTTGTAAGAAGTAATACAGAAGCAGCCTGCGTACCTTTACATAGTTTCCTTCAGTGGTAACAGCTCACAAAACCAGTACACTAGCACAATCAGGATATTGACCTTGATAACCCACTGATCTTAATCAGATGTCCCAGTTTTACTTATACCCATTTCTCTGTTTGTGGATTTAGTTCTATACAGCTTTGTCACATGTAGGTCTGTGTATCTACCATCAGTCAAGGCAGTTTGAGCATCACAAAGACCCTTCATGTTGCTATTTTATAACCATTCCCACTGCCCTCTTGCAACACCTTTTCTATCCCAATCTCTGGTACTAGAGATTTTTTTCTCTATTTCTAAAATTTTGTGGCTAGCCATACCTCTTCACAAACATGAAATTATACATGCATTTATGGACCAGGTCTACTTTTCAAAGCACTTTTGCATCCTTAAAGCAATTCTGCAAGGTAGCCAGGGAAAGCGTCCTCATTTCAGTTCAGGAAACAAACTCAACAGCCTTAAATTACTTAATGAGAGCCCTATGTTTAGCAGTAGAACTATGATTGAGATCCAAGTCTGACATTTAGTCTTGGACTTTCTTTTTTGACCAGACTGCTGCTTTTCAAGGGAAGATGTAGAGCTCAAAGCCCCAGTAGGAGGTGACGACACAGAGGACCACCTGAAGATCTAGGGGTGAAGGGACAGATCAGGTAGCAAGACCTATTAGCATTTCAGCAGTTTGTTTCCTTGACCAGTTTATTACTTTTTACAACCTGGAGCACAATCAATAAGCTGGGTTTTGCTCCTAAATTCTCAGCTTGCTTTACAGGGGCTCTAAAAGAAGTGAGGAATGACTATGAGGAGAAATTCTGGCCGCAATTGTTTTGTCTTGTCTTGGAGGCAGAGTAGGTGCTAGCCTCAGCATTTTCATTAGTGCAGTGTTTTCATTAAAGTATCCATTAAGTTATTTGCAGCAGTGAGATGGAATTATCCCTCCCACGAGGTCCAGGAGATGTGTGCCAGGTCTTCTCATTCCCTTGGGTAGTGGAGACATTGCCTCTTCTGCTATGGTGCTAGATATAGTAGGCAGGGGAGGAGTATAGTAGTCTCAAGGTACAGAAGGCCAGAGCTGTGGCTAAGGGGACCTTTCCCTCTGGCATTGTGTCTTTCAGGAAGGGAAGAACTGTGGTTGGGGCACCAGAATCCAAGGGGGATGGAGGTTCCGCCTAGAGAGAAGGCTTCCTTAGCCTTGGGTCCTCGTGTCAGGATCTGTTCTTTTCTAACAAAGTTTGATTTTGAGGAGCTGGCACATGGTTGAAATGCACTCAGGCTGTTGGGGGAAGAATGTTCTTCTAGTCCTCCCCACAAGGCCTCCTGCTTCTCCTGAGTACCTGTCATCAAAGGAGATGAAGATGAGTCTCCCTCAGCCCCCACACCTCAGGAGTTGTCAAGTACTCTCCCTCCCACCTGCACAGGAAGCAGGAACAGCAGGCCAGGGTGCAGGTTGGGGAAGTCAGAAGTTAACTTGAGCTGAGTTTGCAGCACTGGTGAGATTGAGGAGCAAGCTTTTCTCTTGTCACTTTGGAAGGAGAGAATTGTGGGGCCACCCCTTTAAATAGCATTCCTGTAGGAGGCAGATCACATCTATCCGTCACCTGCTGCCAAAGCATCGTTTTTTGGTTTCTATCAAACTCAGAGCTTTTCAGAAAGGATTGCAGGGTTAGGGGAGTGAGGAGGCAGGATTTCTAAGAGGTTGGGGACACTTCAGCAGCTGGAAAGAAGAGAAATAGGTTGGGAAGAAGAAGCCTGGGGAAGGGGGAGATGGGAGACAAGAGGAAAAGACAAAGAGAGAATAACTGTCTTTTAAGTCTAGGAATGGAAAACACGCATCCTATTTGTATCTTTTCAGAGGTTTGGTAAAGCAGAAAAGGGATTGGTTTGAAACAAGAGAATGAGGTTGAGACTAACCACAACACTGGTGACTAAAAAAGTGAAAGAGCCGCAGAAAACAAAAGGCACAGGAAAGCTTGAACTTTGTCACTGTCTGAGACACCAGAATTTTTCTAGGTTTAGTATTCCCATTTATAAAATGGAAGAGACTAGGCTAGATGGACCTCAATTTCTCTTTTATGAATTTTTTTTTAAGTGCTGGGGATTAGCAGCCTATATTGAAGGCTATATTAGAGCCTTATAAATGCTGGGCAAGAGCTCTGCCTCTGACCTACATCCCCAGCACAAATGACCCTTTTCTTAAGATGATTTAGAATTTAGGGGATGAGGACTGGATGTGCAACTGTATTGACCAGAAGTGATGACCGATCACTCTAGAAGAATATCTCCTGCCTCTTCCCTATCTCTCCTAGTTTAAACACAATACTTCCCTACACTGGGAAATTCCTTAGCTCTACTTTTAATTCTCTAATTAGAATATATATAGGCAGTCTACCTGTATAGTTCAGGCTGGCTTTGAACTATAATGATACAGCCTAGTTTGGCCTCAACCTCTCAGTCAGTGATCCTCCTGCCTCAGTCTCCTGATTGCTGAGATAACAGGTGTGCAGCACCATGCCGAGCCTAATTAGAATCCATTAATCTCAAATGTGCAATTCTTTTCTAGTTTCCAGCTCATTTCCTTTTCAATCGATAAGGAAGGAGATTGCTCCCAAATTTTGAGAACTAGATTGTGTAGGAGTGTGATGGGGTCTTAGGTGCAGCTATCTCTTGGCTGGGATAGCTCCTCAGGCCAGTGAGGAGAGAACCTGGATGCGTGCTGAAGCTGAACAGAAGGGAAGGTCCTAGTATAGTATTTCCACTTTTTGGTGCGTCTTTGACTCTGCCATCTTCTGTCTCTGTACTGCCTGGGAGCTGTTTCTGTTGATATTTTTACCAGATCCAAAGCCTTGACCTAAAGTTGAGAGTTAGTTTGAAGGGACTTTATGCTGAATCCAGGGCCTTTACATTGAGCTACCTTCCCAGCACTTTTTATTTTGACACTGGGTCTCACTAAAGCACTAAACAGACCAGGCTAGGCTTGAACTCACAAATCTTTTGCTTTAGCTTTCCAGAGTGCTGGGATTATGCACATGCTCACTCACCTGGTTCCATCCTTTTCTCTAGTTCACCATTCCCTTCTGTTATTTTCTCCTGATTTGCCTGGAAAAGGGGGAGCTTCTCCCATATATTTAGAAAAAAAAAAAAAACTCCTCCCATTCATCCCTCATCCCAATTTCCACAATTCTTAAAACTAAAATTCACATTTGAGATTGAGGATTAGCAGCCTATATTGAACACAGCAGTAAGTGACTACATCTGAACTTTATTTGCTTGAGAGTTTCCACCCTACAGATGCAGGTGGTCATTAGGGATGCACAACACCGAGAAAGAGAAGTGGTCTCTGCAAGAGCCTCAGGTAGGATGCAGTTAGCTGGAAGAGGTTTTGCCTCTGTCACCATCTTGAGTTCCAGTACCTATTGCACAAATGTATATTAAGCACTGAGGTTATTTAGTGCTGTGTCTTTAGCCCTTTGGTTTCTTTTCAAAGACAAAAGAGGAAATGAGCCGAAATGACTGGAGGCAGAGTTGAAGGAAGCCATCAGGAATGATTTCCTGGCAGTGTGCTGTTATTAGGTAGTCAGGGAAGATGTGAGGCTGCCTCTTCTGCAAGGCTTTAAACTTGGAAATTCCGGTTGGCCAGGGAGTGGTTAGAGGCACTCTGTGGCAGGTCACAGGGATGGAGACAGGTCAGGGAGACAAAGTGAAGGGGTTGAGAGGGAGGTGTGAGATGCCAGCACGGCTCGGAGGGGACACTGAACTTTTCCAAGATGGGAGCACGGGCGGGGTCTGGCCCTGCTGGACTGTGATTGCAGCAGGTAGCCACCGTGACCTGAGTCCGGTCCCGCTGGGAGGGGGTGGGCTTCTCCCCCCCTCCCCCACTGGACAAGCGGGCGGTGGGCACACGTGGATGTGTGAGGTCGTATTTGCACAGACAAACTCCAGCACACACTGAGGGCCCCGCCCCCACCGCAGTCCTGCCCGCCGCCCGCGCGGCTCTGGGTAAACACGCACTCCAGTCCTCGCGCGCTGGGCTCATGCTGCAGCTTGTGGTGCCGGGCGCCGGTGCGCGCTCTCGCCAGGGCGCTTCGGGCTGCGTGAGCCCGGCTCCCAACCGCTCCTCCGGGAGGGGGAGGAGTGGCTGTGCGGAGCGAGAGACGGGCGCGCGGGCTGGTCGGGGCGCAGGGAGGGGGGAAAGAAGGGGGGGCCGGCCCGTGGAGGAGGAGAGCGGCGAGGAGGCGGCGCTGGTAGCGCGCGGCGGCGGCGGCGCGGAGAGCTCGGACCAGGAGCCCCGAGATCTGCTGGGCAGCGGGAGACAAGAAGCCGCAGGAACTGCAAGCTCTGCCAGCTTGGGCCGAGACTAGAGACACCGGCCTGGCTGGTCCACGCCAGCCGCAGGTGGGAGCGGATAGAGATGGGGGGCAAGGGTCTCTCTGAAGAGGGCTGAAACTGAGCCGAGATCCTGTCTCCTTCCTCTGTTTCCTAGACGGTGGCTGAGCATGGAGCTGTCCCCCCGCAACGCTTCAGAGATGCTAGAATCGGATTGTCCGTCACCACTGGAGCTGAAGTCAGCCCCTAGCAAGAAAATGTGGATTAAGCTTCGGTCTCTGTGAGTCCCAGGCCGGGAAACGGGGTGGGGGGTGGTGGGGGGTGGGAAGACCTCAGGGAGATGGGAGCGTGTGTGTGTGTGTGTGTGTGTGTGTGTGTGTGTGTGTGTGTGTGGTGTGTGCGCGCGCGCATAATGGTGGTGATGGTGAATAGCTGGAGCCAGGCTGGTAAATTGTCCTGGCACGTTGGCAGGTGCGAGGAAACACGGCTGTGACACGCGTGTCCAGGCCACATGTTCAAGACATGTGCGGAGCAAGCCGGTTGGCTGGAGCTGGGTTAGGAGTTGCAAAGCTAATGATTTGCTTGTGCCTCTGGACCCGCGGGTGACACGCAGAGCAGAGAAGTGGCACAGTATGTGCGGTGTGGCAGGGCTGCAGACCGGTGCCAGGTTGACTCACACGTATCCCTGTGCAGGGTTGTGCAGATGTGAGATATCACATACGTGTGCACAAGTCTCTGTGGGTCACAGAGGTGTGTAGACTGATTACACATAGCTAGCTGCAGATTTAGTGCATGGGGATAATTGTACCAACCTGTGGGTTAGATGTATCTTGGTTAGAGTCGGTAGTTTCTGCCTCTTGAATCCTGCATAGGGGTTGGGGGGGGTACCCCACACTTAAGCCACTTATCTCTCCAGGGGCCTGGAAACTCACTCTGCATATTAATGGCACACCTGGAATCTGGAGGAGGGGGGGTGGAGCCCCACCTGGAAACTGTAAGAGTGGGTAGTAGGGAAGAAAGACTGATTGACAGGAGTAAGGTAATGTAACTGGCTTGATCAAAGCTTTTTGTTTATATAGGAGCTACCAGAATCTTCAAGCACATTTAGACATCTTACTGTTTCAAGACCTGGGGACATGGGGAGGAATAAATAGGAAAAGGAGGAACTCAGTTGTTCCATACACTAATCTTTAGAGAGGAAAGCAACTTTTCTTTCTACTTCTTGGAGGAGGAGAGGATTTACCTCCCAATCAACTGCCATCGATAATATCCGTTGATTCTTAATCACGAACAAGGGAACATGAACAAGGGAATCATGAACGAGGGAAGATGCCTCTCTCCATGAGATGACTGCCTAGAGCCTCAGGGAAGAGGCTCTGATAAGACAGCATGGATGTTTAGTGTGGAAACAGTAAACATAGCCCCTGAACCTCCATTCCTCCCCAGTATCCTCAGTCATGAGTGCTGAAGCTTCTCTCCCCATAAAGAGAGAAGGGGGATAGGAGATGGAGAGAAGGGTATTGTGATTTTTAAAAATACTTTACCTGTACTGATGACACCTTTATGTTGGACAGGTGGGTCTGATTTATATGCTTACCTTAGGGAGAACAGAGGCATGGTGCACCACAAGGCTTGGGATCCAAATGTGCTCCCCAGATCCCCTCCTTTCTGCTGGCCAATCCAGTTTGCCAGGCTCTATGAAGTGCAGCCTTGGAATGAGTTGTAGAATGAAGAAATGGAAACCAGATTGAACTGATTTTTGTTGGGAGGAACATTGAGTGATTCTTGATAGAAAATGATGCTCTATTAATGGTGACTGAGCTGAGGAGAGGAGGTAAGAAAATGATTGACAGGCAAAGAAAGGACCAACGAATGGGAGAATTCAAGGTGTCTTGGGATGTCTTTTTTATAGTAGTGGCTCATCGTATATTCCCTTCCCTTGCCTTGATTCCAGGTAGCAGAACCCTGTAGAAGAGTAGTTTTTACCAGTTTCATTACCTCCCACATCTTTTTTTTTTTTTTTTTTTTTGGTCTTTTTCGTTTTTATTGGTACCAGGGATCGAACTCACGACTGTCTGCACTGAGCTAAATCCCCATCCCCACCTCCCACATCTTTTAAACTAAAAGTTGTTCCTGAAAATGAATTGCTGTTTCTTCCTTTAGTGTAAGAAGTGCTCAAGAGTGAGGGAAGAGGGTCCTTAGAAGGTATCAAGACCTGGGGCAGAAGGGAGTAGAGGCAGCTGTTTCTACAGAGTGCCTAAGCTCAGTTGACCTTATATCGTGGGCAAGGATCACTAATCTTATTGCTTGTTCTGGTCTTCACTCCAGTGATCTGGTCTTTAAAGCTACATGTACTAATTAACCTAGAAAAGTAGTATTTTCTGATTATTAATCACCAGAATAGATTCTATTATTTTCTCCAAGCAGAGAAAGATCTTGATGTCAAGATAGATCCCAAGTTTATGACTCTCTTGATTTGTCCTTGTTTCAATATTGGGAGACTTTGGTAATCAGATGAAGGGAAATGAAAGGATTTAGGATTTTTGCTGGATAGGAGAAGTTCCCTAATTCTCTCAGGTGGTTTCTAAAGAGGTGAGAAAGGAGGAATTTTCTTATATGGAAATAGAGCCTTCCTCTTCTTCCTGGGCTAGGTAGGAGAAGGTTGTTTGGTCTGGAAATAGGAGTAGACATGATTATCTGGGTGACTGAGTAGTAAATGGAAATGAAGACAGATAAAATATCTATAGATCTATCTGTCTATATATCTATCTTGATTCCCCTGCTCAACACACATTCTCTCCTTCCCCTTTTAATTTCTGATCTAGACCATTTAGACTCTCTTCAAGGAGCCAGTTGTGGTGCTTTTGCCTCTGGATAAAAGACTGCCACCCCACCTCCGAATATAACTATGCAAGGCAATTTCTTTTTTGGAATAACATACAGGATTTCTGTTTCCCAAACTAGGACTCTGTTAAGGATAAATTCAGAAACTAGAGTACAGTCTATGAGATTTCACCTGTGGCTACCTGGAAAAATTTAGCTTCGCTGTCTTACAAACTCCAAGGCATGAGACAGGCTAAGAAAGTTGATCTGGAGATGCTGATGTTCAGCATCTGTATTCCCAAGATGAAGGATTTGATTTGGCTGTCCAGCTTTCTGAGACCAGAGGGCTTTGGAGATTGTGGGGGAGGGTCAGATAGAGGTAGACAGAGTTTCCTGTGTCTCTTGTAAATCAAGAAAAATCGGGGGCTGGGGATTTAGCTCAGCGGCATAAGCGCCTGCCTTGCAAGCAGGCAGTCGTGAGTTCTATCCCTGGTACCGATAAATAGGAAAAAGACCAAAAAAAAAAAAAAAAAAAAAAAATCAAGAAAAATCATGAGGAAAGAGAGATTGGTTTGCTACCTCGGTTCATTTGGTCATGAGCAATGATCTGAATGCCTTCTGTGGGCCCAGGTGCTGTGCTGGATGCTGGTATTACACAGGTGGACAAAATGGACTGGCCTCTGTTCCATGCTTGGAATCTGGTTTGACTCTATTCAGTGGTGTGGAGAGTAGGGGAAACATCCTTTATCTCACTTTGCTATAATTGGCAAAATTCTATCATGCTGGGTTTCTGCCATTAGGCTGTTACATATACAGGAAATGCACAGATAGAAGTTTGTCTTCCAAGATAGTACAAGCATCACTCTCATTTCTCTGCTTCAATTTCTTTTAAATTTTTGTATTTTACAAATAGCACTGCTTTCTTTTGGGACAGTGTAGATATAGTTCCTTTTTCTTCTCTCCCTACTTGGTTCACGCTAAGAACTCCTAACATTTAGACTCAATGTCGTGTACTGTGGTTCAAGGTCATTACAGCTGAGCTTTGAGGAAAGGATCCAATTTAGGATTATTTATTTTCTCATTTTCTTTCATCAGAATGGTACCTTGAACATAACAGGTTCTAAATAATACTGTTTTTAAAAAAGGGATGAACAAATGAATTAATGTATATATCTGTGTCATGGAGCCTAGTTCAGTCTCTGATTCTGTGGTGCGTATGTACCTCTGTGCAGAAAGGGAGGGCATAGAAAATGGAGGGGGAAGAAAGGGAGATGATGTTTTTTGAGTGGGTGACGCTTAAAAGGTGTGGGGTTTGGGGACCTAGCGACAGAGCCTAGAATTGGAGCAGTTATAGAGAGGATATAAAAACTATGGTATTTCAATTGTGTGAACAAGATATGTCAGGATGAAATTGTGAATGTCTGACATGTATATGTACGTGTCTGGATGCAGGTTGATGTACGTGCCGGAAGGAAAGCTCCATGATGGTTATATTTTTGTTGTTAAGTTTATAAATGGCATGTGTAATAACAAATGCATTGAGAAGGTATGCACTCACCTTAATACCTGAAATTGTCCTAGGTATGAATGAGATGACCTTTGTATGTAGGTAATGAGGTAATACAGATGTGTGATCTTAAGTATATATTTATGATACCTTCAACTTTTTTGATAATCCTGGGGGAAATCCAGAAAGCAGGAAGAGAAGCTGAGAGATAGGACTGGGTGCCACATTGATTTATCCTACCTTTTGTCCTCATTTTGTGTGTACCCCATGGGATGATCTGGTGTGGCTCTTACCAGTTTTGAAAATCATTTTGCCTTCCTCTTTTCTCTGTATGTAACTGGGGAGCTGCTGTGAAGATTTCAGGATAAGCTGTGGCTCCTTAGACCCCTGGAGGGAAGAAAAAAACTATATCTCCCAGGTCTTGGAGGAATGTTTTTTGATGCTGTCCTCTATGGATCAGCTTCATTTCCAACCTTCATCTCCAACCATGGCACAGGGAATCTGTTTTATACCCCCTGTCCTATGAGAGTTTCTTGTCTTTATTTTCTTGATGAGTTTTGCTTGACAGAAGATTGTGTAGTATCTCTGGAATAGTAAGGGTAGCCAATTCCTTTAGTAAGGTGAAAAAAGAGGTACAGAGATAGGGGGAATCAAATTTGGACTAGAGGAAGACCGCCACACGTTCTGGTCAGAGTAAGAGACTGGCGGGAATCCTGGAGGCAGTGTGATGTCAGGGAAGAACAGAGAGCAGAGTGGAGACTGGAGTTTGAGTTCATATTCTCACTCTGCTGATTACTAGCTATGGATCTTGAAGTCATACAGTCTCAGCTTCTCAGTTCTTTCTTTGACATCATCCATATGAAGGGGCTTTTAAATGTTGAAATCTAGAAAGAGATCTGTCAGCATGGAAGAGCATGCTTTACAAAGAAGAGGAAAATGAGAATGAATGG